CATCTGGGAAATAATTCTACATTGGTAGCAACCACATGCAATATGAGGAGAACACTGAACTGGGAGTTGTACCTCTACCATCAGGTAGCTACATGAGCTTAGGTAGCTCACTTCTATAATTCTCACTCATAAAATGAGGAATCTGAACCACATCTTAACAATGGTGATCTCTCTCATCTCTAAACGTTAGTGATGATTATTACAGATGAGGTCCCTCTGACTTGAGAAGAAACTTTTCCTCCTGAAGTAAAGTGCTGAGATCCTTACGCTCCAATCTGAAGGCTGACCTTGGTTTGAGTTCATAGCATTGGCACTGCTTTCCCCAAGAGAAGGATTACAGTTAAGAGGCAGCATTCCCACACCCCGGTTCTATTTTATAACAACGCCTAGCAGCTTTGCTATGTTTAGCTTCAACTATTTCTGGATGTGTAACAGTTAATCACCTCTTCCAGTAAAAAATTAAAGGAGAAAAATCTACAGGGAAAAAAAAGAAAGAAAAGAAAAAATAATCCTATAGTCACTCTGAAATGCTCCTACCTCTTCTCCTAAACCTGGACCCCTGCCCCGACTCCCTTCACCCTTGACATGTCTCCACTATCACTGCAGCCGTGTGGGATGAGCTGTGCCGTGCCCGCCATGCCCAGGTATTTATTTTCTTCAGTCCTGGCTCTGATTCCGCCGCACCAAGCTGTCCAGGAGTTGGGGGAGTTGTGCCCAGTTTTGCAGGACAGCAGGATTTGGGCAGACAAATTTCAGAATCTTTTTCTAGGCTCTTCCCTCTTGGGCTGTTCATCCACAGTAAAGTCTCTGGCTCTTTTTCTCTAAATCCAGACTTCCACCACATCAGCTCTTCTCTCGGTAACTATTACATGCAAATCTATTTGTTTTTTCAGATTTTGTTTTGCTCTGATTGTTCCTTTTCTCAAAGGAAAAAAAAAATGAAGCGAGAGAGAAAGTTACACTCAGTTTGCCTTGTGGGGCCAGGAAAGGGGACGCAGTGAGGGTTCTGTATCCTGACGAAGGAATGCCAGGAATCCCGAAGATGGGCACAGGCTGCCGGACCTGAGAGCGCTTTTTATAGCAGGAAACACAAGAGCAGTGAGGATGGTCCGTGTCCACTTGCTGCAAGCAGAATAAATAGACTCTGAGACGCAGAGGCCTGACGTTTCCAAAAAGGGAAATATTTTTATTCTTCTAGCATATCAGTTTTGTAAAATATGAAAAATGTCAAACATATAAAAAGTTTAAAAAGTGGTAGGATAGCCCACACCATTTTGGCATATTTGCTTTTTTATATATTGCATGCATTCCCTTATTTGTGTGTGTGTGTGTGTGTGTGTGTGTGTGCATGCTACTGAAGCATTTTGAAAGAAATTACAGAATCAGGACACTTCACTTCCAAATACTTAATTTTTTATTTCAAAAAACTACAACATTTTGTGACTTAACATGATTACTCTTGCAATTTACATTTCCATAATATATGTAACAGCCTCATGTCTAGTCAGTTTTCCATGTGGTAATAAGAATATGCTTTCTAACTGTTTTTCTCAACATAGAATCTAATCTGAACCAACTGTCTGGATGACTGTAGCATTTTGCACTTATCTAATTGTTTCTCTTTACATTTAATTTGTAACTCTCTCCTCTGTTTCTCTCCCCTGGGGGTTAGATCAGGGCTTGATCTTGGCTTGATTAGATTCAGGTTCAAGATGTTTGGTAATAGCCTCCATAGGTGATATTGTATGGTTCCGATTACAACGTGTTAGGAGGCATATGATGTGTGGTTATTCTACTGGGCACACTAAATTTGATCACCCGCTAAAGCACAATCAGTTCAGCTGCTCTGCCACATAGACATTCTTTAAATTATTGTACAATGCAAAGTTGCATGGTGTAAACCAGAAGGTTGAGGGGGGAAAGAGGGTTAGGAGTATAATACTCAAAAACTTTGCAAGTGACTTTTAAAAAAAGATAGGTACTGAGGAAAGCAGTAGCATTAATGTATGCAAAAGGCCTAAGAACTACATGAATGGTACAGTGTATATGGCGCTTGACCTGGAAAAGGACCTGAAGTTTGCCTGTGGAAGTGGGTAGCTTGTGCTTATGGGAAGGTCATAGAAGGAAGTCATCTAAAAAGGAACAGAATGGTCCAAGCCCAGACAGGACTGGGTGGGATCACTGCACAGCGACATGGCGCAGCTGTGGGTGCATTCTGTGTGTCCTATACGGCTGACCTCATCTGGGTGCAGTTTTTGTACTTACCTAGAGTATGTTGTATACAAAAGCATATAAAAGCATACATTAAAGTGCATTATCCTTAAAGTGTTTCTACATATATCAAGTGCACTGGGACAAATTTGCCTTTAAAGACAAGTATCACAACTGACTGATTTGGTAATTTGCTCCTTTTGTCCTTTTTTCTTGATCAATCTAGCTTGAAGCTTATCAACTTTGTTGTTCTTATCAAAGAATGAGTTACTATTTTCAGTTACTTTCTTTGTTCTTTTGTTTTTATTCTTATCATTTTCCTGGTTACTTTATGCTTATTTTGCTCATCTTCTTCTAGCTTTCTAAGATGGAAGTTTGCCAGTTATAGATCATTTTCCTTTTCTAAGTTTTTAGAGGTATACATTTCTCTCTACTGCTTTAGATACATTTCACAAACCCAACAGTTTATGTTTTAACCAGCACTGAGTGAAAATATTTTCTAAGATTTCTGGAATAAATATACTTTCTCCTAAATATAGCTAAAACTCCTACATATTACATATAAATGAAATACAAGAAAACTCTGAAAGATGGAGAACAAAAGGCACCTAAACTAGGGACCCTGAGGAAGGACACGGCACTCCACGAGGTTCATGACCTCCCCTGAGGCAGAGTGGGGATCCTGTCTCCCACCGCAGGCCGAGCAGTATGAAGACATGCTCATGCACCCCTGGCTGTCCCTGAGGGTGAAAACTGGGCAAACACACTTCCCTCACCACCTGTCAGCAACAAGTATGCCTCCCTCTCCCCCGGGGGCAGTAGCAGGAAAGCTGCTAAATGAGATGTAGGACTTCATAACTGTACAACCAAACTGTCCAGGTTTCAAATGAAAGAATGTGTCAGATAAAGATCCCAGAAAACAGATGACAAGAGCAAGGTGGCACTGATGTTAGAATACCTCACAAGAATTTTAAGGCAGCAGTCGTAAAAAATCATTAACAAAATTATGAATAGTCTTGAAACAAGTTTAAAAGAGAAAGTGTCTGTGAGGAAAGAGAAAGCCTTAGCAAGAAAATGTAATGTCTAAATATGAACCAAATTAAAATTTTAGAACTGGAAATACAATAACTGAAATATGAAATTCAGAGAATGCAGTCAATGGCAAAACAGACAGCACAAGAAAAAAATAAAAGTAAACTTAAATACAGAACAATGAAATTACCCAACCTGAACAACAGTGGAAAATAGTCTGAAAAAGGAGGAACAGAGCCTTCGGGACTTGCAGCATGAGAAGAGAAGATCCAATGTTCGTGCAACTGGATTCTCAGACAGTAGAAAGACAATGGGCTGAAAAATGTATTTAAAGAAATAATGGTTTAAAATTCCCTAGATTTGGCAGAAGGCATAAACCTGTAGATCTAAGAAGATTGAGTGAGTCTCAATCACGATAAACGCCAAGAATATCTTGCCAACACACATCATAGTCAAACTTCTACAAACCAAAGATAAAGAAAGCGGTGAGAGAGAAACACCTCACCAATCCGGAAAAACAGTTCAAATGACGGTGGATTTCTCATCAAAACTATAGAAACTAGGAGAAACTAATGCACCATTTTCAGGTGCTAAAGGAAAATTGCTGTCAGCCAAGAACACTACATCCAAGGGAAAAATCTTCCAGGAATGAAAGAGGAAATCAAGACACTCTCAGAGAAAGAAAAACCAAGAGAATTTGTCACCAGAAGACATACTCTAAAAGAAATTTGTGTAAATAGAAAGGAAAGATAAAGAGGACATTCCAAGCATCCTGAAAGAAGAAAAGACAAACATGTGAACGGAAAAAACAAAAATATGAATACAGAACATTTTGCTTTTCATTCTGAGTTGTTAAAACCCAGCTTGACAGTTAAAGCAAAATTAGAATGTTCTGATTTGGTTATAAATATCAGTAGAAGGTTTTTAAATTTAATATTTACTTAGGACTATTATAATTGGAAGAGAGTAAATGGAAGGAAAGCAAAGTACTTTTTTAAAATTAAGTTTGTGGGTACAGTTTAGATGCACATAATGATCACATGCACCATAGGGAATTTGTACCTACACATGATATATCCTGTACATCCCTATACATGATGTGCCATTGTAACTGAAACATTGTTGACAATAGTAGACTGTGGGGTGTGTGTGTGTGTGTGTGTGTGTGTGTGTGTGTGTATTTAGCAATAGACAAAGTTCTAAGTAAGCTCAAAGTTGAAGTATTTAACACTGACTAATTTAGGTTTAGAATCCCACTTTTGTTTAGTTTTGCTTTAAAGAAACCAAAACATATTCATTTGTGAGGTTACTAATCATCTAAACAGCTGTGCGCTTGATTCCTCCCAAGGTTGGGGAAACCAGATTTGTAAACCTTGAAAGAGGACCAGAATACACGGTAAGAAATAGATTCTGTAAGTGTTCAGGAAATAGAGAGCACTGTGTGTTATCAGCTCTTCAGAGAAGGCCACGTCAGAGGTAAGGCACACGACATGGCTCCAAAGCACAGCTGGGCCCAAAAGGAGAGCATGAGGGCGTCACCATGGCACCTGCTCAGCAAGCCAGTCAGCCAGGCCAGCACAGCTCTCCGCGCCGGCTGCCCGTCAGGAAGACCAGGTGACAGGAGAACATGCAGATTCCCAAGGCCCCGGAAAGCTTCTGAGTGTTTTCAGTGACTAGCAAGGTTGGGTAGCCACAGTAGAAAAAAATATGTAGCACAGTTCACCACTTTAATAACAGGATAACACTGGCTGTTTCCATACAGTTATTTTATTCCACTTAGTCAAGAACAACAAGACCATTATGAATATAGCATTACAGAAATAATTGATATGACTTAGTTTCCCTGTGCTTATGAGAAGGTCATGTATGAGGCAGATTTGTGTGGGGGAGGTTATTTGCTGGTAGCGGCTTTTGCTTCCTCCCTTGCCGCTGTTAGCTCTGCCCACGCCGGAAGCCCCGCGGACTCCCTAAACAGTGAATGGGCTCCACAGGCTTCTCCAGGCGGTGAGGGCCTCCTGCTCATACAGCCTGCAGCGCCGGGCTCCTCCCATTTCCAGGAACACTTCTGCCTGGCTTTCCCTTGCCCCTGCAGGAACGGGATTCAGACGGCTGACGTTCCATGTCAGGTGAGGAAAGGGAACCCCGCAGACTCCTCTCTGACGTGGAGCTGGGCCTGCGGCCAGCGCGCTCTGGGTGAGACAGCCTGAGCTCACGAGAGCTGGCCGAGCCTGACCCCAGGTTGGGTCCACAAGGCCTTTCCTCTGCCTCTTCCTCCTGCAGGCCTGGGGGCCAAGGCTGGGGACAAACGTGGCCCGAGCTTTCTGGGTCATCTAAGCACCTGTCCATCTCTCTCCACAAGATGCAAATCCCACAGACTGCAGTAGGAGTTTGCCCAGTTGAAACTTGATTTCCTCACAAGTGTTTGATGATGATGATGATGATGACAATGACAGTGAGGAGGAAAGAGAGCAAGAACTTCTATTAAAATACAGCGAAATGAAAAAGTGAAACGACACTGGTAACTTGCTTTATCTGCACCCAACTTGCCTAATCCATACTGATGCCCATGATCCGTACAAGAAGCTGCTGTGTGGTCGCTGAGCACGCTTACTGTCATACTCCGCAGGCTCACCTATCCTCAGAGCCTGAAAAGCACGTGCACTGTTTGATGAAAGAGTTGAATTAGAGCTGTGTGATAAATACCTAAGCTCTTTACGTCTACAGGGCCTACCACGTGCGTTTGGGGGTCGTAAGGAAGTCTCCAACAGATCTCACTGAAAGGGCCATAAATAGGTTCTCCCCAGACCTACCTGCTTAGATAAGCAAATATTTTAAATCTTGCACCTCTAAAACAGAGGATTATGTTAGTATTAAACTCCCTCAGAGATTACTGAATTGCTGTTTAAAAAGTAGCATGTGGGTTCAGGCTTTGGTGGTAGAGGGCGGACGAAGGCACCTTCCGACCCATTCATCCACTTACTCATTCCTAAACCGATTCACTCACCAGGACACACTGATAAACCAGCAGTCCAGGTTCTCGTCAGGTCCTGATGGTACAAAAACGTGCAGCACATGCTCTTCTCTCCAGATAGTTCAGAGTCTGGCAACAGAGACAGATACACACACGACAAAGCGCGGCAAACCACAGCAACAGCGATAAAGAGACGCCCGTGCCACACTCTCCTCCGGTGGACATACACACCAGACAGCCAGTGTGAACCGTGTCTGAGCACACCTAGAGACAAGGTTTTGGGTATTTGTGCTGTGCTATATTTCCTTTGCCTTCTTAAGCTTCCTTGTACACTGAATAACTAGAACTCCAAGCCACCCAAAGCTCCACTCATCCCAGGTTAAAGACATTTCACTTCCTCCACCGTGACCGCTGAGTGCTCACAGCACCACTGGTGTCATTCGCTGCTTGTCCACGAGGAGCGACGCCCTTCCACCACTATCATCCTGGCACTGACAGAGAGGCTTCCTTTCACAGCCCTACTGTGGCTCATTCGGCTTCAAGACAGAAATGCGTCCCAGCTGGTATGCAGTTTCCTGTCTTCCGGAATTTAGAGCCAAGCTTCCTGGGGTTTGTTTGGAAGCCATTGGAATGGTACTACCCAGTTTTACACTAAGAACTTCTTTCTCCTGATTCTGAAATAGAGCACACCACTTTAGTTCTCAGCAGCACGTTTCTGCGTATGTAGGACACTCAACAGGGGCAGGCATGATTTTTGAACTTCCAATACCATTTGTGTCTTAATCTGGAAATTGAAGAGTCTGACTACACATCCATCAATGCATCACTTAACTACCAACATTTTTTCTTTTATTCTTTGTCATTCTCTCACAAAAAGAACATTCCTTCACACCCCAGAGCTGCCCTGGTAGCGTTTAGGTCAGCCTGTTCCTCCTGCAGACAGAGAGCAAAGCAGGTGTCTGCAGATGTTTCATCCTTCTGAGTCCAAAGCAGCGCGAGAAGAAAGCTGAGTCCACATAATCCCCCTTCCTTGCACATTGTTAATTCCAGCAGCGGGTACAGAAACGTCTAGTAACCCTTGAAACTCTTCAGAGTGAAGGGAAAATGTTTCACCTGCTCTCAATTTTTTAGCCCGGAACTCCTAAAACATTTTAAATTGCACAAGGGAAAGGGGAAGGAAAGACTATAAGTGAGTTATTTATTTAGCACATATGTGAATAAAACTTTACAACACATTGGGTAATTTAATTACATTTCATCTTATTATCCAAAACATCTTAAATCTACAGTTAATGCCAGAAAGTCAGAAATGCTCTTGACAGGAGACAGGAATGATTTGGTTTACCGTCCATGGTAAACTGCGGCACTGCACAGGTTGATAAAGTGAAACTTACCCTTAACGTCATGCCATGACAAGATCCTTTTTGTCATCTCCAAATGCTTTCAGAAACCCTTACAGAAACTCACAGGAACTCTTGCAATCGTCAGAAAATGCTTAGCCCCCAACAGAGTGAAAAACAACACCTTTGGGTTTTCACTCAACGGACAGTTCTGAAGCACGAACTATGCCTCGGTACATTACTGAACCCTGAAAAATTAGCGTAAACAAAACTTGAGCCTCTCGTAGTGTCTTGCGGAAAACACACACTCAGATTATTGTAAATAGAAAAGGCCCGCAGGAGTCGCCGGCACGTAAAAATCCTCAGCAAACGCAGCAGCGGCAGCAGCGTCTGCGCCCGACAGAGGCCCTGGGGCTGAAGGCCGCTTGGTGGGACCGGGAAGGCTCCGAGCATCAGAAGCTCAGGCGGACGGCAAGGGCAGGGGAGGCGCGCCCCAGGAGGAGCGGCAGCCGCGCAGGAAAGCGAAGCGGGGCCTGCACCGAGGAGGGAAGCCCGCTCCGAGCCCCCGGGGCAAGAAGGCCGGCGAGAGGGGCGCGGGGCGGGTGCGCGGCCGAGCCGCACCAGGATCACCAAGCCTCCCACTCGCGGTAGCCGGCGGCGACAAACGGGGAGGGCGGACGGAGGGGCGCGGGAGCGCGGCCCCAGCGTGCACACGGGCGGCTGCAGCCCCGCGGGGCTCGAGCAGGCCGCGGGGAAGAGGTGCCTCGGGAAGCGGGAGACAGGCCTTCGCCTCACGAGCGACTGTGCGAGCATTATCCCCGCTTCCTGGGTGCACTTCCCAGCGAGGTTCATTTCTGTAATGCACGGCGAGCTTTTACGTTAACAGGAAGAGTCGGAGCGGCCTCGCCTGCGCGCCCTCGCGTTCGTGGAGCCGGTTACCCGGCAGGCTCTGCGGGCGCCTCTGGCGGCTGCTCCGCGAATTGCAGGCCCGGGAGCTCCGCCTTCCTCCCTCGCCCGGGCAGGTGCCAACTTGCCTGGCAGTGCCGGGCAGCTCTCACGGAGGCTTCCTCGCACTTTCTCAGAGGACACACAGAATACGTGTTGGCTGGGGTTACAAACGTAGAGTGTTGTGGCTGGCAGAGGGAAGTGCTGCCCTTCCGGACGAAGGAGCAGGAAGGGCGGGACGGGGGCAGAAGGCACGGAGGACGGGCGAGGCCCCGAGGCATCCAGACCGGACGGGTGGGCTGCTGTCGGTCAGCGGGCGAGGCAGGGAGGTCCCGCGCTGCTGCCCATGCCGTTGCAAATCGAGGATCAAAACAGAAGCAGTGGCCAGGGACCCAGCCCGGCGGCACGGCGCCCGCCTGGCGAGCAGAAGGCCCTGAGTTCGACTTCCAGCTTCAAGAAAAAAAGTAGAAAGCAGGGAGATCGATCTTTTGCAAAAGAGAAGGGAACCAAGAGACGGAGAGAGAGGGAGGGCGGGCAAAGGAAGGGAAGGGAAGAAGGACGGAGCGTTGGTGCGTCCCGCACACGAAGCAGCTTCCCACGACGAACGCAGCCGGTACGCACTGCACACGCCGCTACCGAAACCCCGCAGACTCGGGTGAGTCCGCACGGCGCGCCGCGCGGCAGAGCGACAGGGCACGAGCGCCTCCGCGCGTTTAGGAAGACTAGAGGAGCGGGCTTTGCAGGCCCCGAGGGCAGAGGGGTAACAAACGTTCAAGGAGACGGAGACACCCACTGCCATGTTTTAACCCGCACACGTTCTGCTTACGCGTGGGATTCTCCTACTGTGCTTCAGAAATACGTAAAACTTTTTAAAGCCGGAGATCCTCATCGTTAACAAAGCTGTGTGGTACTAGACTTTAGTTTAGACTCCGTGTAAGTTGCATCCTGAGAGGAGAAAGAAAAAGCATGCACTCAGGGCTTGGCAGCTGTCCTCCCACACCTTCCGTACTGCCACCCACTGAAACCCTGGCAGCTATCTTCGAACCTTTCCGTTTGAGCCTAATTGATCACTGTGAGCCACCTCACTGCTGTCACAATGTTCCCGCTGCGAGGGCCTCTGCAGCCTCCCAGAGGGCTCTCTCCCCCTGCTGAGCGCCCTCCCACCAGCTCAGCCTTTCTGAAGAGTAACTCAGATCAAGTCACTCTCCCGCTCAGAGGCTTCCCACCACACCGAGACAAAAACCCATTCCTCACCAGTCCTACCAGGCCCTCGCCACCCACCCCTGCTGCCTCTCAGACCCCTCCCCACCCCCGCCCCCAACTCTAGCTCCTGCGACTGCCTGGCGAGCCCTGAAACACACCAGGCAGCCTCTTGCTCTGGAGACTTTTTGTCTACTGAACACTATAACATTCTGCCGTCTCTGGTATGCATCCAAAACAGTACCCTCCCTACAGCCGCTTACTATGCTTTATATTTTATAGGGCTTTTCCTGAAATTTCATTAAGCACTTGTTGATTTGTCTGTCACCCCCCCCAGAATATAAGCTTTCTTCTAAGTCAGGATTTGATCTGTTTTGTTTAACTGCTTTGTTCCAATTCCTAAAACAATGACCAGCACACAGCATGCTCTCACATACGCAGTAAGGTATGAAAGACTGGGAGATGAATCACACGCCGTCCTTAGCGCTGCTCCAGTCCTGAACTAACACCCTTCCCTTCACAACACCCTGGGCCACTTGGCCGAAGTGACTCCCCTCAACGCGGTGGGGAGGAAGGCGCTTTGAAGCCAGTGAAAATCAGTACACTTTCAAGACACCAGACTGTATTCTCCAAATCACTTCAGCTACTCTTGAGACCTCAAAAGCGGGACCTATTCTGCCTAAGGAGGGGAGTTTAAAATGCACATCATTTTAGCAATAAACTTCAGAAGACTAAGCGAAGGTTTGCTGAAAGTGTATGACCACAATATAGCCCATGATGCCTTAAACAAGCAAAATCTAATTTTAAACACATAGTGCATACTTTTCATTAAGAAACTCAAAATCAGTACTTCTTTTGAGGAAAATTAAATTAAAAGCAAGCTTAGAGTTACAGGAACCAACCATCTCTAAAAGGCACTCTAGCTAAAGGCTGTAGTGCCCTCTACTGGCCATTGGTACCTGATAAAGCCATGGGGCAGGTTCACAGAGGAAGCTGCTTTATGTTCAAATCCATTAATGGGATTAGTAAAAATATTTCAAGCCCTTCCCCAAAACAGGGAGAGCGGTACTGTGGCTATCATACGGAATAATCAGTGCTTGCTTTCAAACAGGTTGAAGATTGGTATGAAGAACAGAAATCTGGACTAACAGTAGAATAGGATAAATGACACAACCTAGAAGAGAAGATGGACATTTAGTCCAGCAGGTGGAGCTGAAGTCTGCAAAGGGAAGAGCAGGTGGCCAGAGGCAGGGAGCGGTGTGTGCACGTCGAGTCACACTCCAGGTGGTGTGTGCAGACCCAGAGGCACACACAGCGAGAGGGAGGCGGGTAGGGACTGTAGGAGCTGACTGCTGGGATGATTAACTTGTCTGCCCGTTCACTAACATTCCCCAGCCTGTCTTTCTTTGCATCTTTCTTTGTATATCTGTTCTCCTCTTGGTAGCTGAAAGTACCAGATACTGACTTTCCCACCTGCTTTATCTTCAGGCTGGACATGTGACCCAGTTCTGGTCACTGAGCTGTGCAGGGACATTTGCTGGAGGGATAGCTGAGATATAATTTCTATCATGATAATAAAGACGACAACCATAAAGACACCTAATCATTTTTAATCTGCTTGTTGAAGTCATTGTGTGAAGAACAATTTCTGAGAGCCCCTCTCTCTGGAATTCTTATAGGAGAAAAACTAACACTTATGGATAAATCACTCCTGATCAAGTATTCTGTTTCTTTGTCGCCAAGCCGTGTCCATGGACACACTCATGCTCTATAATGTGAGGGACAAGTGGGGAGCGTTCAGAATGGCTGTAACAAAGTGAAATTTGCCTTTCAGAATGAGCAGGCTTCAAACCAACACAGAACGCATTGAAAGAGAATGAGAAAAACAAAAGGATAAGTCAGGATATTTATAATGATATAAGTGGACATGGGGGAGAAAGGAAAAAGTTAGAGCCTGACTGCTGAGTTTCTAGGAAAGAAATGGATAGGACAGATACAGATATAGGAGAGATATGGATGTAAAATTTAGGAAGTACAATGGAAGGATTTGGTAATTCATGGGGAGGAGCTAGTAGATTATAGGGTAGGTGGGCGGGTCATTTCTTGATATACAGAATTTAGGAGAAAAGGCAGAGATTGAGATGACATGAAAATGATGAATTCTGTTTGGGACACACTGGGCTTAGAAAGCTAAGAAGAGATGTCCTGTGAGTAGTGGAATTTTGTAACTGGAGTTCAGAAAATCAGGACTTGAGGTTGAAGGTTTCAACCTATCAATATATACATGGTTACTGAGGCCATGAGCGAAGATGACCCTTTCTGGAGTACATGTAAACAGAGGGAGATAAGAGAGTCCGAGAAGAGACTTCACTATCTACAACATTCACGGCAGGAAAAGCCACACAGACACCATGAGACAAGGAGAGAAAGCCAGAGAAGGAGGTGTCTGAGGGCCGAGAACTGACATTTCCAGGAGCAACGGGAGTGCTCTCCTGCTGTAGAGGAGGAAGGCGTGACGGCTTATACCTAGGTGTCTCCCCAAAGCCTCGTGAGAAGGTAGGCAGAGGATTGGGGAGGTGACCGGACCCTGGGGCTCTACACTCACTGGTGAGTTTATAGCTAAACGCGCTACTTGGAGGTGGAGCCTGGCCAGAAGAGAGGGTGAACGGGGTTGAGTTTTGGGAGGGACACTCCTCTTCCCCACTCCTTCCTCATGCTCTTTCAAGATGTATGTTTACACACTGAGGAGAAAGAACCAGCACAAGAGGCCAGGCGGGCGTATGAGAGAGGGAGACCGTGATAACTGAAGAGAGAAAGACCCTGAGGATGCAGCGGGGAGTTGTAGGTCTGAGCCCGGCAAATAAGTCCCAGCTTCACTTCCTTTTGAAGCAACTTATCCCCAACCTGGGTGGAAAAGTTAATCCCACCCACCGCTGGAGCTCCACTGCCTGAGTACCACACAGGAGTCTCAACACAGCACCAAAACATCAGGACGCTCACTGCATTGCTAACACAGCGATTATCAAAGGTGCTCATTCTTTAAGACTTAGGGTCTGCTGTGCTTTGGGGGCACTCGGATCCCACGTGCCTTTGGAGCAGCATCACTGGATTTATCACATAGACATGCGGAGGTCCACAGGCTGCTACCGAGTCCCTACCGCTTGCTGGAACTCTCTCCTGCTCACCCCTAGTCTTCTCCCAACACTCAGAAAATCATTCTAGCTCTACATATGGTAACCTGTGCATTTTTCACTCCACTGAGCTCCCTCTCCCTCTTCTCTTCTCTCCAAAAGAGAAGGTAAAAGAAGTAGGTGAGGTGAAAGTGAAAGTTACGTGTCCCTCAGAAATAGAGGCATATGGCCGGCCTCTTAACAGAAACAAGGAGCGTATTTATTGTGCTTGTACTAGCCAGAGAGACTAAAACACGGTATTTCACTGCTTAAGATTCTCGTTGCTGTAACAGTAAGTGATATGATGGTTAACCTTGACTGTCGGTTTGACCACACTGAGCGATAACTAGAGAAGCGACTGGCGTGGGAGGGCATTAACCTCATCCGTAGGTCTAGCCATGGACGCGCTCCGAGCTGACTGGGCTCCTGGAGCTGGGCCCTGGCGGCGGGAGCAGGTCACGGTTGTGGGGGGCCTTGGAGGGCTGGGCCTTCCTCAGGCTCCCTCCCCTTCTCTCTGCTTCCCGGCTTCCACCAGGTGAGCAGCTTCCCTCAGTCCTACCCTTATGCCCTGATGTTTCTGCCTTGCCATAGGCCTAAAAGTACTGACGCC